TTCGCTGAACGTGTGGTTGTTCCCTCAGCTTTACAACGGCCCATTCTCACCCAACTTCACAAAGGCCATCAAGGAATCCCCCGCACCAAAGCATTAGCTAGAAGTTACGTGTATTGGCTTGGGATGGATGATGAAATCTCACACCTGCGTTCGCGGTGTGAAAACTGTGCGATCACGCAAAAATCACCAAACAAATTGGCCCCCGTGCCATTTCCAGTAGCGACCACGCCGTGGTCAAGAGTACATTTAGATTTCGCCTGCCCAGTCGATGATAATTCTTATCTCATCGTAATTGACGCTCATAGTAAATGGCCAGAGGTTGTAACAATGCCGACGACCACCGCAGTCGCAACAGTTAGACCGTTGCATCAAATATTCAGCCGATTCGGAATGCCGAAGACATTAGTCAGCGATAATGGCCCACAATTTACTAGCGAATAATTCGCAACATTTTGTCGTTCTAATGGGGTGACCACATACGCACACCACCCTTTCACCCGCAATCGAACGGTCAGGTTGAGCGATTCGTCGACACGTTCAAGCATGCACTTATCAAAGGGCGAGGCGACGGCCCCAGGGACGATTGCATACACACATTCCTAATGATGTATCGAATCACACCACACCCCTCTTGTAACGGAAGGTCACCGTCAGAAACATTGTTTAACCGTCACATAAGGTCAATTTGGGACATAATGGTTCCGGAGGTGAGAGGATTAGCCAAGCCGGAAACAACAGCGTCAGCGCGACCCGAACAGCACGTAATAGCGAGAACATTAAAACCAGGTGACTTGGTATGGACGAGAGACTTCCGGCGGTCACAAAACAGATAGACGCCAGGTGTGATCACCAGACGGATTGGTCGAGTCACATACCTAGTAGGGGTCAACGGTCAGACATGGCACAGGCATATGAATCAGCTCAGACATTGCTCTGATAACAATCAGTATTTACCTCGTCACAATTCCCAGTTTGATTTTCAGTTATTACTGGAGGAGTTCCCATTGCCGAAACCGACAAATGCAAATTCGGATCGAGTGGAAAACGAAAGCCAAGCGTTGATGTCAGATTTGGATGCGGTTCACAGACGCCCCGTACGCAACCGCCGACCACCCGATCGTTTCATCTATACCCAAAGGTTGGCAACTACAGGCAGACGTGTCAAAAGAAGAGGGAGGTGTCGTATACGGGACCCAACCCAACTTGGAGTGCTGTCATCCAATCAGACCATACAACTGTCCAGCCAATCACCACTAAGCTGGAACCAACCAAACGATATACATCAGTGGTTCTGGTAAACACGTGTACTTTCTGTTGACACTGTTTTGACTCCGCCTGTCGGTATCACTTGATTCGCTGTATCAATACTACCGGTCATTTCCCGATCTAGTATTCTATCCACCTACTAGAACAGTTCGGGTTATATCACATCATATCTTTTAAGCTCACTGAGAGAGTTAAATGGCACACAGCGTCCCGGTGCAAGACTTTGGGACTGTCGTTGTAGTATCTACGACATGGCTTCGGACATGCGGCGATGGCCGACCGGTGCTTCTCGATTGAGGCATAATTCGTCTAAAAATAAGGTTGATTGCAATGCAAGGCGTCTGTGACGTCTTACATTTAATGGCCTTCAGTTCCTGCAGCACCTCCAGCTTGGATAGTGCAACGTCAGCAATACCAGCCGGCGCGATTACTGTTTAATAGGAGCAGTATGAACGGGATATTTACGGTTGCCTGTTCATGGCCCTGAACGTGGCGGACTAATGCCGCTGAAGAGAGACGTGGGCGCGCGTGCGTATGTTGTTGCAGCAGATCTTTCCGGCTTGGTGAAACGCGCGGCATCTTCGTCATCGGAGCTAGAACGGACGGGCCGGCGTCTAAGGGGAAATAACAAACGTCATGCTCACATTGGACGCTTAGCTGGAAGGCCCATCGGAATAGTGCCGTCTGTGGACGGCAGCATACCGCGCTCTGATTGGCGTTCCATTTAACGAGCATGCTGGAAGCTAACTAATGGGGTGTGCTAAAATAAGAAAGACTTACTCGTGCTAACGATGATCGACAGCATTGCTGGCCTCATCGAAATCGAGTGCAGTGTGATTTTTCATAACTGCATAGTAGTGCGTACCGCGCATGGAGGGTATTGGGTGTACGCATTTTCCTCTCGAAGCCAGGTATTACCGACGATAGTTATTAAATTGTCGGAGGCAAGTAGTTTGACAACGCTGTATCCTTGAAAAGCCATCAATGCTGAACCAGCAAGACGTCAAGAGTTAGAGTGTATAACTGTGTGGCCTAGGGTAAATAAAAAGTAAATCCTTCAAGGAAAACGCGTTGCACTTGATAGCAAACGACAGGCGGAATAGCTACATACACTTTTGACAAATGCGATGCACGAAAGATGTATGCCGTAGAGGAAGCCATGCTATGCGTGAAAAGACTACGAAGGTTCATAAATTCCCGGCCTTGCACGACCATGTTCCCAGACACATGCAAGGACACATCTGTGAGCACCCTGGGTATTGCATCGATGACGACCACGTTATCCGGTTTCACTGTGGAAACAAAATGCTGTGCAAACGAAACGCTTTGTGACCCTTATTTTTACACGCCTCTGCATACCCACCCGTGCTTGCGTTGTTAAAAGTAGGAGGAAGCTGTTCCCCTTCCGACGTACGCCGCATGATTTGAGCAACCGGACGCGGGGAATTGTAAATCATGCGCTTGAAGGAAACAAGTGAGACTCAAAGTGAATTGCTGAGAAGCTGTCTAAAGCCTCCAACTTCGCTACATCAGCGGGCCAATGAACCAGTGACTGCACGTTCCACATCATCTCACTGTGACCATAAAGATCAAAGTCGTTATGTAAACAAACATGAATTAACAGAATAAGGAAATCCAATAAGGCCTTGTGACGGTGAGGGTGGCACATAATATAAATAGCAAATGAGCCATCTAGAAAGTTATAATAGGAAGCCTCGGGCAATACCCTGATTAAACACACTGGTTCGGCGTATAGCAAAAACTGACGCAACCCAGTTGCCTTCCATGATTGGTATTCGTCCAGTGATCAAAACTTACGTGGAAAGTCCGATGTTCAAGTAGGTCCGAAGTCATACACCCGTTCGTTCGCTAAAATCAATCGCTCCCTGCGCAGTAAAAGTCCACTGTCCACGAGCAAAGTAAGCCAGGTTTTTATCAATCCGCGCATTACACCCAAACATACTGGATGCATATAGTCCATTAGAAAGTCTTCAACCAAACGTACATTCAAAGCAGCGAAAGGCGACGGTTGGCTGGCATTCCTTCAAACGGATGCATTAGTTTGTAGTGTGCTATCCGTAGGTGGGTATGTCACCTTGCGGCTCATATACTCACCACTTTGGGGGCATTGGTCCCAGCTGTAATAACCCGAGTGTTTCGCATAAGCGCGTGCAGGAGTAGCACAGATAACGGCTTTCAAGTGGAATAATCTTTCGCTTTGCTAAGAACGGATCTCATAAATTGTGTCCTACAAACAATCGTCCACACCCTTCGGTTTTGAGATCCCACCATAAACACCAACAGTGAATGGTTTTGTGACCACTGGCTTTATGATACGGCACAATGTCTGTCACATATGCAGCTTGGATGCATTAAAAGCTTTAAATCCGGCAACATGCAACTGATAAATACATAAATAAATAATATATTTTCGAATTTGTCGAGACGCACCAAGCAAGGCATGATCAACATTTACATGCAGTATTGTTTCCCAACAAACACTTTGCTATGATTGTAGTCAGCAGTAAGTCAAAGGTTGTACAGGTTGCAGAAATTGTGTAAGTAATCATGAGGGATAGAGTTTTTATTGAATGACGAAACGTTGGAATCTAGCGTGCGTAGTGTAAACAGTCAGGGCACTATATGTGTAGTGAAAACGATACATATAGGCACGGAGTAACTTAGTATTGAAAGTGTCAGGGCATTATTGAATTATGATTCTGGTCGACTTGCCAGGAGGTAGTTCTGGGCAGTAACTTTATTCAGTAGCGAGTCACATCCGCCACGTCGCTGTGTGGTTACACGGACGTTAGTGGCTGTTTATAGGGAGAACGCTTGCCAGGCGAAAACCCACCACGTCCTGGAACACTGTTAGACATTTGTTTGTGCACTAATATACCATTGGCAGACCAGGTTGTCGACTGAGTTCCCAGTCGGATATCCGCAGTCAAATGGCGTTCAATTTCCTCTGTTAGTCGATCAAGTAACTTGGGCGGGGTCGCCAAAATGGCTGAGGCTAATCGAGGATGGGGGCTTCACGAAGAATCGCCGTTGTGGGTGTCCAGGTGAGCAAAACTTCAGTTTTTTGCGTCTGGATTTTTCAAGAGTATGTATTCTTTTCAGGTGTGTGAATGTCTCGAGTCCAGCTATAATCGATGGACAACGGTCATGGTAGTGAGTGCAGTTGTATCCGTTTGTTGTACTTCCATGGTCCACTGTGTCAGCAGCCGTGAGCGAAAGAGCAAAGCTTGCACACTGTAAACCACTCAGAAGACCTACGTGACCGTATGTGCCCGGTGCAATAAATCCTGTGCGTGAGTTCCGTGGAGTTCGCATCAGCTTCCGGTAATCCTTTGGCAGAAGTGGCATCCAAGGTTGCACTAGCCCCAACCGTGGACGAACAAAAGACACTGGTACCTGAGATTCGGCAAACAGTTATCTCAAGTTTTGGACCAATTCATCGGGGTCCCTGGCATCTTCACAGCAGTGGGTAACGTAAGCAGATGGCTGAAATGTGTAAGCAAGCATAAGTAATATATGTTAAAAATAATCTTACCCCTTTGTCGCTTTGTTATAAGGCTGCGCCCGCAATCGACTGGTTGTTTCACACATGCTGCTAAATCTGTGCCCTTACGCTTGCTCCGTTTGACGCCTTGGCAAACCCGACCGGAAGGAAGACAGAAGAATACTCAGCAGACAAGAGTTCTATCAGGGTAGGGAACGCTCATATTTACATGTCGGTGTCACCAGGCGGCTTCGGCTCTAAGCCCGCGCTTCACACATACTTGTCCGCTCCATCCGTCCAGTCCACCGTGTTGCTCGGGCACTCCAGTCTTCGTCCGCCTATCTGGCGCCTGGCAGCGCACGTGATGTCTGACGCACGATTCCATCAGCTTCCGGTCAGCCCTTGGCGACACGCCTGCTGTTGGATCATTATCATCTATCGGCTGGGCCCTGGTAACACGCTCACAGGGTCTTTCCGAAGCACGGTTGGTGACAAACGCGCGAAGGTTGGCACTCCGCTTTCTCGCCCAGCTGTCACCCATTCCGAATTGAGTCAGGTTGCACACCCATCGCACCTGATTGTGTTCGTAGCTTTTCGCCCGGGAATCCATTTGATGCCATTTTGCCTCTGTGACACCTCCTCCAAAAATCGGAACCGTACTGCCCGTACTCATCAGGCAGGTAAGAAGAGCGTCAAGAATGGCGGGACGAACAAGCTAGAGCGTAAGACGTATGCTACAGTTGCTTTAGCGTCGTCTAATAGCTTGCGCCCAGTCTTATTGCCTGCTTATAAGCCGGTTGCTGTTCGTGTAAATTCCAAAACCCTGGTGGTAAATACACCCTGTCGAGGTGGTTCTTTCATGGATAGCAGCGTGGTATTCCCTAACGTAGTGGAATCCCCTGCCGCACTTCCTGCCGAACGTACATTGGACGATCTACAGTGGTTTAAGATGTGCGTAACGGAGCTTCTTCTGCCTGGATTTTCCGGTGCTACCGTAAGGAAACTGACTAGGTGGGGTAACGTCCCAGTTAACTCCCCAAACCCTCGACTGCTCTTACTTGGGTAGTCCTACCCACCCCGGAGGAACGCAACTCGCTGTTGCGCTTTGCCTTCAAATTGAAGAATACCAATGTCAGCGTTCAGCCAGACCTCCCATTAGCTGATAGGCTGAAGTTAAAAGAGGCCGTTAAGGACCTGAAAAACGGGCGAGCGGCCAGCGAACAAGGTCGCCGGTTGGTGGCTTTTCGGGAGGTCAGCCGGCGATCTGTTTACGCCCTACCAGTGCCAGTACTGCTAGCGCACGACCCAGGGCTGGACATTAGGAATACCTTTAGATAGTGCTAAGCAATGTGCTGAGCCTAAGGAATAAGATGTGTGAGATAGGGTCAGCACAGACGGTGAAGTACATCTATTTGGCTACGCACTATTTAGATGTGATCGCTTCGTTGGCCGACAAGGCGGGGGCGTTGCGCTTTAAGTTAGGTGTGAACTTGACGTTTCACGTACCTACGTGTTTCAGTCGGCAGATAAAACTGTCAAAGCTCTGTTGGTAGTGCTTAACACATCCTCAGCTCAACTTACAGTTGTACTTGCATATAGAAGCCCTGGGAGTGCGTCCAAAGAGATGCTTGCCTTTATTCGCTCCCAATCCACAAACAGGTGTTTGATGCTAGGGGATTTCAATCTACCAGAAGTTTGCTGGGCAGATCTTTCTTGCAACTCGGCGGAAGGTACTTTCGGTGCAGATCTACTTGAGTTTACGCTACAAGTACCGTTGCATCAGTTCGTGGACCTCCCCACTAGGTACATGGATGCCCAACTCCCGTCTATTTTGGATCTAGTGTTTGCCAAGTCACTAGACTTCGTAGGTGACATTGCTTACAGCTCTCCCTTAGGTGCTAGTGAGCATGTTTGTTTAGCGTACAGGTGTACTCTGACCAGGCGTCACCAGAGCATTGCTAAGCCATTTCCAAACATATGGCGTACTAACTACCAGGCAATGCGTATCAAGGCTGCTGGGATGCGTTGCGAAATCACGGTGGTTGGTACGGTTCAGGCGGCCTGGGATAAATTTAAATCTTATCTCACGGAAGTGTCTACTTCCTACATCCCGCTTGCGAGGGGAAAGGAGACACGAGCGCGTCCGCCGTGGATAGATACCACTGGCAAGTACCTGCTCTAGCAGCGTTCTAGGTGCTGGAGGACCTACCGTGCGGCTCCATCAACTAGCACCCAATACAGATACCGCGAGGCTAGAAATAGGTGTAAACAACACTTAAGGAAAGCTCGGCTGGTGTACGAAAAGGAATTGGTTGATGGAGCTTTGGAAAATCAGAAGAAACTCTTCGCTTATGTTAAGAGACGCTGTGGTCTAACTTCGGTAAGCCCAACTTTGATGCGGGCCGATGGAACTCGTGCGTATGCGGACTCAGATAAGGCTAGTGTACTTGGGGAACAGTATGCAGAGGCTTTTGTACGTGAGGCCGCGTTGACTAGCCTTGAACTTGTCCCCAGAGTACCTGAGAGTTCTTATTTAGCCGAGTGTACTGTGGTGGAAACGCAAGTCCTTAAACTGCTGCAAGAACTGAACCCTTCCAAAGCAGCTGGACCTGATTCAGTTTACCCAAAGCTTCTGCATGGGTTGGCGGGGAACTAAGTGGGCCGCTGACGATGGTGTTTAAGTAGTCACTTGACGGCTGTACATTACCTTCTGAATGGAAGGAGGCTGTCATCTGTCCTATCTTCAAAGATAGCAACAGGAGGCTGTCAGCTACTTATGGGCCAGTCAGTCTGACTAGCGTCGTGGTCAAACTGCTTGAAAAGCTGGTGAGAGATTCGTTGGAATGTTACCTGCATAGATTTAATCTACTCAGTAGCGCACAACGGATTCCGGAAGGGGTTTTCGTGTTTGACGAATTTTTCGGTTGCTTTTGAAGCTTAGGCAGAGGCTGTGAACAATGGCCACGTAGTGGATGTGCTTTCCGTAGACTTCTCGAAAGCATTTGATAAGGTACCCCACTTGATTCTAGCATAAAAGCTGAGCTCCTACGGCGTATCTGGCCGCGCCCTTCGCTGGGTATCTGTGTTCTTGCAGGGAAGAGAGCAGTGCATACGTGTGGGTCGCAGCTTATCCTTTATGTGAGCGGTCCTTAGCGGTGTCCCACAGGGCTCGGACTTTGAACCGATGCTGTTCTCCATCTACGTAAAAGATCTCCCTGGAGAGCTTGGGGTATCATCCCTATTGTTTGCTGATGACCTTAAGCTATGGAATGTTGTAAATGTTCCTGGAAGTTCCGAGGCCATACAGCATGCGCTGGACAGACTCTGGGACTGGTCCACTTTGTGGTTACTGCCCTTAAATCAGGCTAAGTGTTCCATCCTTTGTATAGGAGCAACTTTCCCGCCTTCCAGCTACGTCCGCGGAGGGGTCGAACTCCTCCTTGTCTCCAACCAGATAGACCCAGGCGTCGTCCATTCTACGTGTTTGCATTCTGGTGACAACTGGAAGAAGGCCGCTAGTAGGGGTTTCAGAATGTTGTGTTAATACGCCGTACTTTCGGGTCTTTACTTCCGACATATTTGTGAAGGTGTTCTCAGCTTTCGTCCGGCCCCATCTGGAATACTGCAACCAGGCTTGCGCGCCCTGCCTTGTTCGGGACAAAATGGAGCTCCAGAGGGTTTTGAGAGTAGGTACCAAATTGGTCGAGGGGTTACGGGGGCAACCGTATCCCGAGCGTCTACTTACCTTGGGTATTTATTCAATGCACTACCGACGGCTTCGAGGAGACCTAATCCTTACTTACCGCATTTTACCAAGGAAGGTTGGACCAGACTTGAGCTGGCCATTTAGCCCGGCTAGGTTGCATTGTCTTCACGGTCATCCCACGAAGCTACACAAGCCGCGTTCTGACCGGATCAGGGCGGAATATCGGTTATCGCGTACAGCTCTTGAGCGCTTGAACTCACTTCCAGATAGTGTAATCAGTGACTCTACGGTTAAGTGTTCCGAGCCTCAGACGCTCTTGGGTGGCAACACGAAACCTTTTCCTTCTCTTGACCATATCCCTCTTCAAACTTTTAGTTCATATTCTGTCATTCCCTTCACTTTTTGGCGGTATGCTTCATTTTAATGACTCATTCCCCTTTATCTTCCATTTACTTTCTACTTCTTTCTTACTTCACGTTACATACGCAGCCGGGGACTGCTAGTGCAGGGAACGTGGGCAGTAATTGGTTGAGCAGGGTGTGTTTCGTTTTAGATCTATCGTGACCTCCTAGCACCTTATCATTTCCTGGCTCAACGGTTTGCACAAGCATGAACACTCAGGGGATTTTCCTATCGTTCCAGTCTAACTGAAGCTGAATAGTTAATTTCTGGAATAAACTTCCTATTGGGTTATTAGAGTCGGAGACTGTAGAAGCCATCAACAGGGGCTTAGATGATTGTTGGACTATTCTCTTTCCAGAGATATTGTAGTTGTACTGGTATATGTAGTGTATTTTGATGCCGACACATGAAAGTGCAAAGATTGCTCCTGCTCTTGCTTCACTCTTTGCGGAAGTAAGAAGTGAAACTCCAACGTCGAAGTGCCGGGGGCCACTTCACTTAACGGCACTAGAACTGGATGCTCGTTAGGCGGAAGCCTCTATCGTCCGTTTGACCTGACCTGACCAGGGGTATGGGTTGCATCTAGCAAACGCAGCGATGGTGACGGTGTTACTACGGTGCATGTGAGACTTCAATTGATAATTGCAGATGAGCGTGAGCGAGTGCATAAGTAGCTTTGTTTTAGTTGTCAAGGTGTCATAAATGTTTCAATTGAGAAATAATTCCCGGAGATGACATCAGAAACAGAAAGTAGCCAACAAGCTTGTTCCCAGGGATTCGTCATCAGACTAAAACAACCACAACAAAGCAAGCTAGCTTAGATACAGTGGGTTTAAACTTAGTCACTGAAGCAGAGTAACTAATAGATAAGTCTATGTGTTTTGTCTAATTGAGGCGAGGTCAAATGAAGTGGCATGACTGCTATTGCTAGTCGCGTTGAGCTGAGGCCAAGGCAAAATTAAAGCATGGACGAGTTTTCTCTGTGCACATAGGTCCGGGTTATGAAACCGATTTGCGATCCCCTCTGCTGTCGACTGCAGGCGACACCTGACCGCCCGTGCATAACGTCCGGGAACACAGTAGACCAATGTGAATGCGTCACGCAAATCGATTTGATGATCGGAGTCTACTAGGTGCGTCAATACTGCACTCGTTACATTCCTCCTCACGACGCTGTAGAGCCAACCTGGGCAATGCTCTCGAGCCCTAATGGACGGTCGACTGGTCGTTTTCCCAATATACCCTGCTCGACACGAGCAAGAGAAATTGTACCCACAAGTCTGCGACCGAGGTATCCTGTCTTGAGGTTGTTGGCGCACAATCGGTTTGAGGTGAAGCTTACGCGGAGATTACCTGCAAAATACGTTCTCTCTGTTGCTAAGGAAAGTCTTCGGGTGGTCCGTTCCGCTATCGCGTCACTCTTAAATGGTAGCGATAATTATATCATCCGCTTCTCCGCGGAAACGGGTTTGGGCTTTTCCACTCGGGGTTCCATGTGCCTCTGGATGCATTTCTCAGGGTACCCATTACGTTAGGGCTCAATAGCATTGCCCAGGTTGGCTCTACAGCGTCGTGAGGAGGAATGTAACGAGTGCAGTATTGACGCACCTAGTA